TGAGTCAAAGTCCATTATACTTTGTTTCAAACATAGTGGATCGGTTTACTTTGGATTGCACAATCCATGAGGTTTTTTCGGCAAATAGTTGGTTTATTATACCAATTTGGGTTTCCTCGCTAAAAATCCTGGTATTATCTCTAACTCTATTACTTTACTTTATTTTATCTTGCATGAGATAAATTGATTAATTACTAAAATAAGTAAAGTTAGAAAAACACAGATCTGTTTTTTAAATACAAAACTTTCTACACAAGTTATCTTCTGCTGAACAACTCACAAATTTGCTTATTACTAACTTTTTTGCCTAAGTGACGAAGTTCATAAATAATTTCAATAAGACTAGAATAAAAATTGGAAAAGGATTCATCTTCTGATTGTGATGAAATAAGATGAATCCTTTTTTGGTTTTTACTCTAATCTTCTTGAAATTATTTCTGAACTTCGTCACTTAGGCAAGAAAGTTAGTGATAAGAAAATTTGAGAGTTGTGTAGCGGAAGATCACTTGTGTAAAAAGTTTTGTATTTTAAAAACATGTCTGTGTCTTTATAACTTTATTTATTTTAGCAATTAATCTCATGCAAGATAAAATAAAGTTAGAGATGACATCGGGATTTTTAGCGAGGAAATTCCAATTGGTAAAACAGACCAATTGTTTGCGGGAAAAACCTCATGGATTGTGCAGTCCAAAGTAAACAGATCCACTACGTTTGAAACAAAGTACAATGGACTTTGACTTAGGCTCACATCCTATCTTTCTACAAAACACCAATCACTGACAATCTTCTGCCTTTGCGACGTCCCGTCCAACAGCTTTTGACCTCAGGCTTACTCTTGATTTCTTTATAAGGATTATTGGTAGATCAAACAACACTCCTCGAATGCTTTGACCCTTTCAAAGTGTGATCGTTTCACCTCTGTTCTTCAAGATCTGAATTTGTTATAGAATAAGTAGATCTACTTTCCCTGATCGTTGTAGATGCAATATTCAATAATACTATGATCATGATCAGGATTTAAACAACACTTTAAAATCATTCTTGTGTTTATGTGTGTGTTCTAGAAAGAAAGAAAGAAAAATTAGATTTGATTTTCTGCAAAATATTTCTCTAATAGGCTTTGAAGAAATTTGAAGATGTAATGCAAAAGCCGTATCAACCTAGATGAAAATCAAGATTTATATAGAATTTTCAAAGACCTAGATATACATAGGAAAATGTAATTTTCGTGCATAGGACTTTTGGAAGAATTCTAAACTAAATAGGAAGTTTTAGACAGAATAAGAAACAATTACCTAAACTGTATCAACAGGTAGAATCAATAGGCAGGACGTGCAACCAGTTCCCATTTGATAGAATTCTAAAGAAGGATCAAAACTTGGAAAAATTCTGTTTTGGTAACTTTGAAGAATATACCATGTAGGTATAGTATCCTAAATGGGAAACAACTTCCTAAAGTATTGTTCATACTTTTTTCGTAAATCAAAGTTTATTAAACTTGAACAACCTTCCAATTCTGCAGCCGATTTCGATCTTGATATGGTAATTTGAGAATTACAACTCGATCGGACTTGTTTGTTCTCATTCTTGATACAAGATAAGCATTCCATTGTATATCAAAGTTCAGGGGACTAAGAAGATACAATGTTAAGAGCATTATATATAAAAACTTCCTACATTACTGGTATGCTCATTATTTACAGATCTTGCACAACAAAACTAAAAATTTGATTATGAAATCACACTTATCTACCTGATAAGATCGAGCATCTTTGAAATATTTTTATTTATACTTAACTAGATCCACGTCTCAAGATCCATGGTTCCTTGATCGTCGAGAAGCTTAACAAAATGGGTACTGAATAACAACGCCATACACAAAGCAAACAGAACAAGCCGTTGCAAGTGCCTACTTTGTTAAATTAGTATTGTAATTTTAACTCCAGAGTAAGACACTGCACGCTCTCAAATGTTACTAGTTCGTCATCGTGTTCTGGGATATCATCGAACCCTAAGCAATAGAGTTGGTGGACCTCCGACTGGTGTCCAAAAATCCGAGTGGGGTTACTGGGTTAGTGTTGGTTTTATGTGATTGATTGAGTTACAAATTGATGAAGCTAGGGGAATCAATTAGGGCATACCATTGTTTAAACCGTAGCAGAGTCTTCACTAAAAGTCGGAAAGAACATCGACCATCAAATCCTCTAGTTTTCCGAATATTAGTGTTAAATCAATTTGAATAGGTAACCAAAGAGACGTGTTATAATATAATACGTAGCTATTTCCGGATGCAGAGAGAAATCGAAAAGAGGATAAAGAAATTGCAAAGAGAAGTCTAGAAGAGAGAATGTGATTATTTGAGGGTAGAGTAGTTATTAAAAAAATAGTTTTAAAACTTAATCACTTACCGTCTTCTGCGATAAGCAACCATTTTCTCGCTTAAAATTTTGGCCTCTTTTAAGTGGTTCCTACCATATTAGGCGGTATCCTAAAATTTTATCAAACATATTTATTTTTAAAAATCACTTACCATCTTCTACATTCAGCGCTAAAGTAGGAAATTAAACAGGCCTCTACACTTTTAATTGGTAAATTATGCAACAAATAAAGAAGTGGAGCCTTCCGCTTAGTTGTATTTGGTATAAATAGCCAATTTAAAATTAATCCGTTAGACAATTCACTGCGAGTGTTCGGTGTGAGTATCATTACTATTTATTTTTTTCAATTGTTATGATAAATTGTTACTAATAGTAAAGCTAAGGAAAATGATATAATTAATATTAAAATAAAAAAAATTAAAAATAAATATATATTTTTTACAAGATAAGAAGTGTTACAAGTTATATTAGTAGATGCAGAGAATCGAAACCTGACACTCCAACTAAAAATAAATAATAAGAAATGACAAATTTAATAACAATGGATAAAATTCTCTTTTGGTTATAGGTATGTCTTTAATCTTTATTTTTTTCCATTGCTATGATAAATTGTTACCAATAGTAAAGCTAAGGAAAATGGTATAATTAATATTAAAATAAAAATAATAAAAATAAATAAATATATATATATATATATATATATATATATATATATATATATATATATATATATTTTACAAGGCAAAATTTGTTAGAAGTTAAATTAGTAGATGAGAGAGTCAAGTCTAGCACTTTAATTAAAAATAAATAATAAGAAATGACAAATTTAATAAGAATGGATAAAATTATCTTTTGGTGATAGGTATATCTTTAATTGCATCACATTATTAGTTGATTTGTAATTCAGGGGTTATTTATAAAAGGGTAAAAGTTTAGTGGGCTTTTTTTTGGGTATATTACTCAATTATAAACCCACTACTAAATCCCTTTTTTTTTTTTTTTTTTGGGGGGGGGGGGGGGGGGGGGGGGAACAAGGCTACTAAATCTTTTATCTATACAAAATTCTGCAATTATAATTTTATTCAAAATTTGATGTATATTTTGGATTTGAATTATAATTAATCTAAATTAAATTTAAATCAAGAAATCTTGTGCAATTTTTACAACAATTTTATTACACAAAAAAAAAAAATTATAACAAAGTTAATAAAATATTAGTATTTGTTTTTATTCAGGTTTTTTTTTATTTATGTAATTGGTTATAGAGATAATTAAAAGATTTAGAACTTAAAAGAGGAAAAAAAAATTAAAAGTAAGGCTTAAAATTGATAGGACTTATTTGTCTTTCAAAAAGAAAAGTAGAACCTAATAATAATTTACCTTAAATTTTGTTTTTTAGCTTTCAAATACGAGAAATTAAACTTGAGACCTATAATTTCAAATGCCCAAATCTTTTTTAACTAGGCAGTTTCTTGTTTGTTGTTAAATAGGTTTAGTGCAACATCTTGAATTAACACTTTTTTGTGCTCATGATCTAAAATGTGTAATGGAACAAACAATAGGTGTGCACATGCAATCTTTCACTTCAACCCACACCAATAATTTTTTTTTTTTAGGCAACCTACACACGTATTTGAGGTATATGTGAGAGAAATTATTTCATGGTCTAAGTTCACCTAGTCATTATGTTGACATCACTAATACAATCAATAAGAAATCAACGTACATATTTTAAATTAGATTAATAGGATTCAATTAGGCTTTCTTATGTTTAATATATGAAGATAATATTAATAATTTTTATTCAAGGAAACTTAAAACATTATTTGGATTTTTAATTTTAGAAATAGTAATTTAATTTTGTAGGCAATTAATGTGTGAGGATCCAAATATAATGACAATTATTGGCATGTAATAGAGATGGTATTTGTTTTGTAGGCCATTGATTCGTGAGAGAGTTCAAAATAAATATAATGTTAGAATAATTATTCAAAATGATTTTATTTTGTAAGCGTGTGGTAGTTCAAAAGAAATGGTATAATGTTGAATAGTTATTGATATGCAAGATAATTTAAAAATTACTCCATAAAACTTTTCTAATTTTAAAGAAAATGTGTTATATTATTTGTATTCATCGATATAATAAAAATTGCATTATTTGGTAATTAATATAGTAAGGAAACTTCCTTTTTTTTTCTTTTTTCTTTTTTCCTACTTGGTACACACTGCCTCCATTGATGTTCGAACCCGAAAATCCCTTTGGAAAGTAAGATCCTCCTTTTTGAGACAATCCAAACTATAAAAACCTTTAAGATAACAATCAGCATATATAAATTATAGTTATGCCCACCATTAACATGTCTTACACAACAAAACTGAAAGTTTGATCATGAAATCACAATTACTAATCTGATGGAAGTATATATCTTTCAAACAATATTCTTAAACTTAAAAAATAAAGCAGAATACCAAATCCCAGTCAAACAAAAAACTACAATATTAACTAGAGAATATAGAGAATATTAGTTCCTTGATTCTAGGCAAGCTTAACAAGGCTGGCGATGCAAATCTCTGCTGCAAGTGAATGAAAGCCAAGATCCACGACTGTTTTCTGTTTGAGGTCTAACCAAAAAAATTGAAATTAATTTGTACGACGAGAACTTGGGTGGTATCCTTTGAAAAACCTAGAATTTCTAGTTGGGCAAGATGATCATCTTTGTACACATGTGAAAAGAAAGATAGGGAATGTTTTGTCCACGACAACTCCCGCATCATGTAATTCTTCATTACCCATAACTCCAAATGGTCGTCATCATTAACATTAATACCAAACAGCCACAAGCATCCACCCGAAACTCCCAAAGTCACCGACCAAAAATCTTTTGGGAGCTGCACCTCCCGGAAGTTCTCAACCCCGAGAGCAAATGCAGCAATATAATTATCCTCATGTGACTCGGGCTGGCGAGCAGCCACCCAATGCAAAGCACCATTAAAAAACACACCATGCTGACAAGGTCTAAGGAGATTAGTGAAACGATGATTAATCCTTCTCCATACATTCGATTTCAAACTAAAAACTGTTATTTCAGAGCCCAAAGGGTTTTCTTGATCATCAAACAAAGTGTTCACATTTACAATCTTGTAATCGTCATTGACAGCATCATACCCAAATCCATGAACTCTTACACAATTTTCTGAGGAAGGCGGTGGCACAGGAGATAAAATTTGGTGTTTTTTGGTGAATGGGTTTAACAACATGAACACTTCAATAACACCCCAAGAAATCAAACAAATCAAGCCATTGCAAGAACCTACTATATCAAATTTGTCTGATTTCAGACAAGGGTCCTCAAATTTTACTATATTATGGTCATCATGGTTTAGGATATCATCCAGAGAGTCAAACCCTAAAGAATAGAGACCGTCGACCTTCATTTTTTCGAAAATCAGAGTGAGGCTTTTGTTGGTTGTGAGTAATCGAGTTGCAAACTGACGAAGTTAGGGGAGTCAATTAGGGCACACCATCTTTTAGAAACGCACCTGAACCGTAGCAGAGTTTCCACTGGAAGTCGGGAGAGAACTTCGACTATCAAATCTTCGGGGATGTTGGCCATTGCCGCTGGATTGATTCTTTGTTTTAGAGTGTCTCTTTCTGATCTCTCCAATTCGCTCGGTCTCTTCTTTTTAGGGTTTAAGGTTATGAGGAAGAGACAAAGTAGAGGAAGAAGTGTGTTGATCCTCGTTTGGCGCGGCGCGCGCACACACACATACACTGTTTGGAACCAATTCCTTTTAGAATTGGAATTTCATGTATATATTTAGAACAAACCTTCCAAAAAAAAAAAAATTGTATATATTTAGAACAAATTGGATTCAAAATAAAATTTGAAATAAAAAATAATATTATACTATTTTGTCTTTGTTTAGATAATAAATTAAATTTTATTTTATTGTAAAATACATCCCTAAGTTACATCAAGGAGACAAATAATGGTAAGGACCACATGATGCAAGTTTTAACCCTTCTATAGGAGGAAAATATATTGAGTGAGCCGAAAATATAATCTGATTGGCATGTCCACCCAAATCAAAATAAGCTATCAATGAAATTGATCCACACAAATATAAAAGCTTCACTTTTATTTTGATTGTATAGGCATACTAATGATACGGTCAGATTAACTAATCCAATATCTACTCATACGGAGAAGCTGGTAATGGGATCATTGTTAAAGATTAATAAGTAGGATTAATTGATCCTCTAACTGATCTTAAATTGAATTGACACATGACATTTATAATTAATCTACTGTTAGTGTTAAATTTCGATCAACTAATTGAAAGAAATTCTTAAAAATGCACCATTTTGAGATAAGAAAAATTTACTAAAGTTTAAACTGCACCCTTTTAAATTAAGAAAAATTCACTATAATCTAACAACATTTAAAGGTGCCAAAAAAGATCCTCCCTCTCTCTCCTCTTGCTCATTCCCACGATTGGGGGGAATATTTCGCGCCAAAAATGAATATTCTTTGCCATGAAAGTGAGATGGACGAAAATGTGAATGTAAGACATGCAACTTTTATAGGCAATAATAATGATTAGAAAAGATATATATAAGCATGGATATTGATAGAGTTAGGAAAATACAACCAAAAGCCCTATACATAGAAAAGATGAGAGAGAACGTTAGTCAGGTTAAAAAAAAAAAACAGAGGCCATTGCAGCAAATTCAAATTTTCAAATTTTCTTTAAATTAGTTGGGTTTAACACTAGCCGTAGATAGATTTTGAATGTCACGTGTCAATATGTAGTTAATTCAATTTAGGATAACTTAGAGAATATTTAACTTAGAGGGTCAAAGTCCTTAAATTTGCTCAACTTTTTCTATTCCATTTGGGATTGCTATTTGAATAGAAAAAAAAAAATTTATTAATAAAGCTGTCAAAAAATTGCAGTTAGTAAAAAAACATGTTAGGTGTATTGTAATTAGTACTTTTCACAATTAAATTATTTTTTAATTTATTTGGTAATAGTATTTTTTTAAACACTTTTATTGTTAATTTTACAATAATATCCTTTAATATGATGTTACCATATTTGATAATAGCAACTTTATTAAAGAAGGGGTGTAATTGTTGTTATAAAAAGTAAAATTAATGGATAAAATTCTCTTATAAAAAAGAGTTACCAAAAATATTCAACCTCAGAACGCAATTTTATAAGCTCCAAATTCTTTGGTAAAAAATAAAAAATAACTCCCAATTCTAACTTCATTCAAATGCTCTATTGAACTAAATTTGGTAACCATTTAAAACTACAGTAGAGAAGCAATCCCAAACAAGCTCGAATGGGGTTGAAGTTGATTGCTAATTTTATGAATTTATGCCTAGAAGCTATGACAAACTTGCATGTGCTTTGATTATAGTTATTAATGGTAATTTTTCTAAAAACTAAAGTTGGTTCTTCAAAATTTTTGTAAAACCCTATTTATGGTACTAAATTATAGTTACTAATGGTGATTTTTATATAAAAATTAAAGGTGGTCTCTCCCAAATTCAAAAAAAAAAAAAAAAAAAAAAAAAATCTATTTATAGTTTACTTATGATTATTGAGTGTGGTTTGTGAATGAAATTACTATAACCCTTCAAATTCGAATAAACATTCTGCTTCAAAAAAATTCAAAATATAGTTATAAAAAAAAAACCATTATTATTGTTACTAATGGTGATTTTTTATATAAAAATTAAATCTTGCCTTACCAAACCTATTGCTTTAATAAATTTAAAATATAGTAAAACATAATAAGAATAATAATAACCATTGTTATGATAAGCCTTATTACAACATACTTTATTTATACACACACACACACATATATATTATTTGTTATGAATTAGAGAGAAGAAAAAAAATAAGACTGACACTTAAAAACAACAACACGTGCTCTTAATGTTAAAAAAATTACTAAGTATTTTATTTTATTTTTTAAATTTGATTTTATATTAATAATTTGACCCCCCAAATATTTTTTCCTAGTTCCGCCCTTGTCGACTTATGCTATGTTTGATCGGAGACAAGGATGGATGAGAGAGGGATGCATGGGACATTTTCATGTTTGGTGGGAGGGAATGTCCAACAAATATATAATTTTCATTTTTAACCTTTCTAAAATTGTTAGCCACATAAATTTTCTTTTCTTTTCTTTTTTTTCTTTTTCAAAATGTTGGAAGGAGACTTGACTTATTGTAAACAAGAAGACTTGATAAATTATTACCAGGGCATCAGTATAAAAATTATTTGTACAACTTGCTGGTTTAGAGTTCTCAATGATGTTGCATAATTTGAAGTAGATAAATTTTTATAATTTTATACAATGAAGGTATATTGGTAAAAATAATATAAAAAAAAATTATTTCCGTTCCTTTCAACCAATAAATAAATAAATTGTCACTCCATATTCATCTTTTCTACTATCAGTTCTATCCAACCAAACAAAAAATGAGGGAGATGCCTTCCCTTTCCTAGGATACCTCATCCATTCAACCAAATGAAACATTAGGACTTGCTTGGTATGTCTTTCAAAAAATAGTTCTCAAAATAGTTCTAAGAAAAACTAAACCAAGCATACCGCCTTAATCTTTCTTGTTTTGAAGATGGGCTAGCTCTTTGGTTAATTCAAAAGTCTTATTTTGATTTGTAATGCCTCTTTTTGGTATTCAATAAATATTTTTGTCACATAGAAAACATAGGGTAAAGTGCAAAAAAAAAAATAATAAATAAATAAATAAATAAATCTCTGAACTATGTTTGAATTTGCAAGTTACTCTCCTAAATAATATTTTGTGCATAATACTCCATGAAGTATCACATTTTGTTGCAAAATGCCCCAATGCCTAGACTATATTTTATTAAATGACCATAATGCCTTTTTTTATTGAATTACACTTAATTTATTTTTCTTATTGAAATAAATTATATAAAAATATATATACTAATTTGATGACATATTCTCTATTAAATTTATATAAATTTACCTTTATTTTTAAAATTAATTATGTAAATAAAAATCTTAAGTAGAATTTTTTAAATTATTTTAATTAATTTCTTAAATTTTCATGAATATAGTACATGAAAAAGAATGCAGTTTTTATTTAAGGACCCGTTTGACATGCGTTTTGCTTTAGGTGTTTTGTTTTTGGCTAAAACAGAAACAGTGTTTTTACTATTGAAGTGTTTTGGCAAAAATCGGAAACACGTTTGGGAACGATGTTTTGCTATGAAAATGTCGAAAATGGAAACATGTAAAACATCTTTGGTAAGCCATGCGTTTCAAGAATTTTAAAAACAAAACATGTTTGGTAAGTCCAACTGTTGTGAAAAAAAAAAACATGTTAGGTTATCATTGTTTTTAATTTATTTTTATAAATTTTAAATTTATTTCTATATAAATAGTCCGTATATTTTTAATAAATATATTAAAATTTGAACACACACACACACACACACACACATATAACCAAAGTGTAATTATAGAAGCAACTGCTTCAGCGAAAATGTAGAATGTTAGTTCTAGTAATTGAACTAATAATTTCAACCATTTTGCATATTATCTTGATCTGAAACTACACTTCAAGTTATTTGGTGATGATTGTCCATAGGTTTGTGTTTCATTCATTTTGCTCATTTTTTGCATTAGCGAAAGAAGAAGAAAAAATACTACACAGCTCAAATAAGAATTTTCGGCTCTTGTAAGTCTGCACTGGTGGGAATTCAACTCCAAAATACAGACTCTTGCCTTCTCTTCTGTAAGGAAATGTAAACCCCTAACAAATTACAAACACATCTTTTTTGCTAAAAAAAAAAAAAGAAAAAAAAGAGATATAAATGAATGTAGAATGCCTTCATCTGTGCAAATCTTGGTTCCCATTAATTGCACTACAAAATTCTTATTTTTTTCCATCCCGGGACCAAAGTTTTGGCATTAACTTGAGTCTTGATGACATGTAGAGTTCCCTCTTTTTATTGTATTCTTATGATCTAGATATTAAGATCACCTTTTTCATTTCTAATCCATCTATTTGAAGTCAAACTTCACAAAACATCTATCAAGGAGTCATAACATAAAAAATAATAATAATAAAAAAAAAAGCACCCTGCTAGAATGGAAACTTGCAAGGAAGCTTCTCAAATCATACTCCTTCTTCTGTATTAGGAAAAATGACAAAGAAATTGAGAACAAATTAAACAGGAGATATAATTCAAAGTTCAAATACAATTCACTTCATTGTTTACAAATTTCAACAATATGATTCAAAAACGAAGAAAAATATGCTTAACAAATAAAAAGATATTTCCTTATGTTTTCCTTAACTGTTAGGAAGGTATCAGAAAAATTCAGAAGATCTTATTGGAGACATACTTCAAAAAACACA